ACCCGCCGTATAGTCCAGACTTGGCACCAAGCGATTATCACCTTTTCAAGCATTTGCAAAATTTTCTTGATGGTACAAAACTGGCCTCAAGAGAGGCTTGTGAAAATGAGCTGGTCAAGTTTTTTTACCAATAGGGACGAGGACTTCTTCAATCGCGGAATTATGAAATTGCCTTCAAAATGGACAAAAGTTATCGAACAAAACGGCGCATATTTGATCGAAATCGGATAATCCTAACTATGTTAATTTCATCGTCGAAATAAAGCGAAAAAACGCTCAGAACTTTTTACTTCACCTAATATATGGCGACAACCAAACTGTCTGCCTTCGCTCCTTCCCTCTTTCATCTCTAGCAGAATCCCTCTAATGATATTGCGGCAGAGCCGGACTTCCAAAATCTCCACTCGGGTCCGTCGCAGCACCTCCGCGTACGACTTCTCCAACTCGCATCGAATCGACACAGCCGTAATACGCGACAATCGCCGACACGGAACCGAAGGGACACTCGCGTCCCCTCAGGAGGCAGGCCCTGCTCCTCTTTCCGATGCTGTACCATTTCTTCCAAACGACTCGGACTTACTTATCCTCAAGGATCCTCCGCGTCTTTCTCTTCTTTTTAAGAACAAGTCCTGTGGCCGTCTCCCTCCTTCTATTTTTCTGGCGCCGGCCGGACCACCGAGATAGGAAACAAATTCCCGCCCCACTGACCGTCGAACAACGCAACACGCCGTACAGACGTTTGAGCTGCCAGATCGAACGAGCCCCACACACTTCCTTCCGCTAAAAGACCAACAGGCGGAATATCCGCCACACCGGATCCCATTGCGTTATCAGATCCGTTAAACTGAATCTAACGGACTTTCCCCTCCCCCTTCCCGAAGCTGAGACCCTTAGCTTTCGCCAAGGCCTCCTCCTTTCGGAGAAGTTGGCTATGGAGCCAGACCATTTCGACCCAAAACTCCGCGACTTCTCACTCCAACTTCTTTACCCACCAATCCTCGATGGAGGAGACCCCTTCTCATTGTCGCCGCCGCTTTCGCTGCGATGGCAAACGCTCCGCCCCTTATTGATTAAAGCTTTCGTTTTATCATCTCAGATACGGCTTCATTAATGTTCCTGAAGCAACACCTGACAAAATCGACATCTTCGACCAGTTCCGATATCCTGACACTGATTTCATGTGTTTCCATTCCCTTGAACTTCGTGCCCTTAACTGAAGGTTCAATTCCGATAAAAGTAGAGGCAACCGAATTTTTTCTTAAGAATACCGACTCTGCAGCTTGCGCGGCACCAATCACTTCACGTATCTATCCCGGTGGTTGTACTTCCACCTCCACGCCCCTCAACCAGTCAGTAGAGATCCCGTCGAGACGGGGACCCACTACGCTCAAGCGACGGTGACGCAAACCTTAAATAAAGACGATTGTACCATAAATAAAGAAATAAATTAATATCAGACTTCGCTCACAGAAATTTAATTCACTTCAACTTTAGAACAAGAACAATTAATTTTAGATCAAAAATATAACTTTTTTGTTTTGTACACAATTCCAGAATTCCCTAGGCAGCGTATGGTAAGGAGTGGCGAGCGCGTGCTCGCAGGGAGAATCAATTACTGCTCAAGATAGGCGGGTACAACATTATCTTCATTATAATCATCTCAAGCGCATAGTTGAAGCTTTAATAGAATCCCTATTAAAATCCTCTAGTACGTCAGGTTCATCTACTGTTGTTTTAAAAATGGCCAAAAACGCGTTTTTTCACATTTTTAATTTCAATCTTCTAAAAAATTTGACATAATAAAAAAATTTCGCTTCTGGATTCGGATTCAGCGATCAAACGTCTACAAGGAATAATACATTTAATTTATGTTGCACGTTTAATGTCGACTTGTGTTATTATTCTCAAAAACTGCCTGTATGTGAAGAAAAAAAATTTTCACACGGTACTATAACTTAAAAGTGCATTAATCAACTCAGTGAGCAAGAAATCATTAATACAATGTTATTCAAGAATCTGTAATATTGTCAAATATGTAGGATTTAATATTGTATCAAACATTATTAAGAACATACTTTGACCGCGATTTAGAAGTTTCAATAATGTTGAAATAGGGTTGCCATAACGTTAACGTTTAATCAGAAATATTTTTAAGATGTTGCATTGATCTCAAATAAATGTTAAAGTAACATTTGAAAAATATATTTTTTGTAATGTTTTTAAAACGTTTAAAAAACATTCAAAAAAATCATATCACAAAATAACATGTGAAAAATATAAATGCAATATTACTAGAAAATGTCCAAACAATGCACATAAAGTCAACGCTTCTAAACGTTAATGTTCTTTGCTTACTGGGAAATTATAAAAATTTACAATTTAATATCTTCTCCAAGATTTTGACTTTTTTAAATAATTTATGTACGTGATGCTTGCAAAGATTAATGCTGCAATTCTAAGCAAATATACGAGTAAATCGTAAAATCGTAACTTACGAAAAAAATTTTAAAAAAATCGTAGATATTTACAAGTTATCATATGACATACGGTCCGCATAGAATTGCAGATCTATTCATAAGTTCTTATGAGTCTTACAAGAACAAGTTACGAGTTTTACGATTTTGTCTAGAATTGCAGTATAACAGATCGTTATGATATTTATCGTAGCAACAGCGTGTAAATTTCATAGTCGGTAATAATAGTCGGTAATAATAGTCGGTAGTATAAACAGTCATACATAATCTTAAATATGTTTTTCAATAGACATCATGAAGTCGTCTGAAACAAGACGTCTTTAAGATATCTTTTGGTAAGATCTTAAAGATGTCTGAAATAAGATGTTTTTAAGTCATTTTTAAGACATCTTTTGGGCAACGACTTAAAGACATTTGAAATAAGACACCTTTTACATGACTTTTGGTTATAAAAACGTCTTACATAAAACGTCTTTAAAACATGCATATTGTGTGGGCTGCTTCTATCATGTTTGTATAGTCAATCACCACAGTTAGTTGTCTAAGAAGTTTAAACGTCAAAACTCTGTACTATAGGGCATCTAATCTTGGCATCTCCTATAGTATAAGGTTCACTCTAGTTATATGATATCTCTTAATCATTTATTAAAATGAATTCCCTACTTCCCGAATATTTTGTGTATTATTTATTCTCTTTCTCTCTTTTTTGTCACTCGCATACACTCTTACAATCTTCCACTGATGTTTCTTTTATTTTCTCAAAGCGATAATTAAATTTTAGTACTGGCGATATGTAAGTGAGCGTAATGAATTCACTTATCTCGCGATATGATAGATTTAGTATGGATAGCCTTATAATGTATTTAATTTTTTAATCCCTTGCATGCAATAAAGACGAGATCTCGGACGCGCGAATGTGAGCGGCGAACCGCTGTTATATATCGGCCGTAATCGAAAAACTCTTAAAATACAAAATCGCAAGCGCCTTGAACACATGCGATTTAAAAACACTCTTCTCACTTCTTCTCACGAAAGCAAAAATTATATCTATAATGAAATTCAGCTGGCAATTATTGGCGTTCCTGCCGAGTGCGAGCGTAATACAGTGGACTATACACTAGTCTACTACTACGCTAAAGGCCCGAGTTCGATTCCCAGAGAAACTGAAAAATTTTCGTACTCTCGCACTTCTCTCGGAAGGCCTGGCAAACCTCCGAGAGTATATATAGGATAAGAAATCTAAGGATAAGAAGTCTAAAAGAATAGAATTTGCCAATGTATAAGTTAAGATATATCTAGGATAAAAAGTAAAAAGGCAACAGAAAAGGAAGCAGGTTTAAGAAATAAATAGGTTAAAATGGCGACAAGAAAATGAAGAAAAGGCGTATAAGAAAATGTAAAAATAAGGATAATGTATAACTTAAAGAATTTCCTGGCATTGTAAAGCTAAAGTAGAAAATAAAATACTACTACTATTGGCGTTCCTGCTGCAAACGCTTTTTACTTACGCCTTATACTCATCTCGGTAAAAATATAATGTAATCATTGATTATGGATTCCATCCACACGGAAAATAAAATTCGTAATGTCCACGAAAGATATTGCTGCAGCCGACCAATTCTCTCTTTTCGCGTATCTCGCAAACGATATACGCCAAAGATATTTTATTCAAATCGCGAAATGTAGAATCATTAATTGCACGTAAAATACCTCGATATTCCGTTATAAAGTACTAATATCGATTTATTAATAACAAACGTAAAAACAAACATAATTATTATTAAATAAACCATATACTAATATGTACTACAATAAATTAAAGTAACTTTGTGTGAAATATAAAGTTGTTATGTTAGTAATTTCTGTTTTTTCGTTTCAGTTAAAGATGAAAAAACGAACTCTCGGACGCCGAATCAAAGAGGTAGTCAGAACGTGTCGTTGCGAAAAACCAGTGGGGTAAGTACAGCTCGTCCAATAAGTAGAGGAAGCCGGAGCAAATTCACAAAAGAGGCGATTGTATATGTGTGACCAAAATGTATTCCGTACATATATTTATTGTAAGAAAAATTATGAAAAAGCAATCGCGAAATGTTTCTTTTGGGAAATAAATATTTTTGTCTAAGTTTTATTAAAATCGAGATAATATTGCATTAATAAAAGCAAATGTCTGATTTAAAAGCAGCAGAGACAATGTTTGATTGTTTCAAAAATTTGTATTAATATTCTCCACTGTAAATGATTAAATCTATGCTTTACAAAAAATTATAAATGAAAGGAAAAAAGGCAGTAAGAACCTATGCGCAGATATGTAAGTGCAACACAAATTAAATTATATGTTAAAACGTTATAAGTTCTCACATTTCATCTATGGATACAACATATCACTGTATATCTGACGATCAATAATTTTGATTAAAATAATGTTAAGATATTGTATAACGAGCGTACATATTATAAAAAAATTAATAGGGGAAATGTGTTACATTCAAAAAAATCCACATGCCATTAATACTCAAAAAGGCACTGAACTAATTGTGATTATTATCGCGCAGCATTTAACTTTTCTTAACTTTTGACTTTAGAGTTATGTGCATAATGTTAACTTATTGTTAAATTAAATTGTATGTTATTGTAGATATTGTAAATTGTATGCTATACATACATAATTTTGGCTCCCCTTTCTTCACAATAATTTTATTCTATAAAACTCTATCCGAGAATTGGCTTGCCGGCATTCGGCTCAGTACATTCTATCTGTACGCGTTACAAGCTTTGAAATCTCGTTTGGTAAAAAAATTAATTTTACATCTTTACATTTGGCCAATGTGTGTATCCGCTGGCACTGCTCTGTTTTAACTTCTGTAGAACACACAGTTTGAGCTCACCTGTCGCGGAATTAAAGGGCACTCCACGCCGTGCAATTTTGACTTCTGTGGACGCTGGTGAGTAGGGCTTGCGGTTTTTTTTTTTGAAAGTAGGATTCTAAATTTTTGCACGAACCGGAGGTCGCTGAGTATCGAACTAATTGCGTATATTCTCTTAACAGTGAAATTTTAAATTGTATGCGAACGACAAGTTTGTTTTTGTATAACAAGTTTGTATTATGCTATTGAAGAAGTTCATAAATAACAGAAACACGTCTGGTAGATAGGATACAGCAAGGTAAATTAATAGCGGGGGAATTTAGATAATATTAAGCGTTTGCGACAATTTCAGAAAAATACAATATATAACATAAAAATATGAATATATAGCATGCTAACCTCTAACATAAAACAACGCGTCTCATATTTTTCTGAAATTGTCGCAAACGCTTAACATTATCCAAATTCTCCTGCTATTCAATTTACCCCGCTGTACCCTAATGTATTTTGTAAAATGTAAGTCAAAGTTATGACGTTTTAATTTACAGGGTAGGCCAAAATGTATAGATACATCCGAATAAATCTTCAGGACAAGATTTTCGGAAAAAGTGACCTGAACAAAAGTTGTCGGGCTTAAAAGAACTATCTGCTGATGGCCTTGAATTTAACCTTAGCCCCGATCTTCAAGGTTATTCAGAGATCAACTTTGCTTTTTATATAGAAACATTTACTTTTTATTACGGAGTTTTATTCTACATAAAGAAATTAATAACTTTTGTTTGAAAAAAAATTTTATATAATCTCCATTTTCTAAGATATTTACGGAAATATCTACAAAATTATTGGTTTTAGTAATTTTTTACTCGAATTCTATCAACTTTACCGAAAAATAGCAAGAGACAAAAATTGTTTATTTCCTTCTCGTAGAACTCTAAGAATTTTTCAGAATTTTTTATAAACTTTTTAGTATTTCAAGAAAATACAAGAAAATGCAGTACTAAGAAGTTAATTAAAAAATTCTGAAAAAATTCTCAGAGCATTTTTCGGTAAAGTTGATAGAATTCGAGTAAAATATTATTAAAACCAATAATTTTGTAGATATTTCCGTAAATATCTTAGAAAGTGGAGATTATATAAAATTTTTTTTCAAACAAAAGTTATTTTTTTTATGTAGAATAAAATTCCGTAATAAAAAGTAAATATTTCTATTTAAAAAGCAAAGTTGACCTCTAAATAACTTTGAAGGTTGGGGCTAAGGTTAAATTCAAGGCCATCAGCAGATAGTTCTTTTAGGCCCGAGCAATTTTTTCCGAAAATCTTGTCCTGAAGATTTATTTGGATGTATCCATACATTTGGCCCACCTTGTATAATTTAACTTGTATTGCATTTACATATCTGCGCATAAGTTCTTACTGGCTTTTTCCTTTCATTTGTAATTGTACCATAGAGCCTACATAATTTTATACTCCTATGCTATTAATTAGAACGAAGTCTTTCGCGCGGCTGTATGATATACAATTTTATGTAATAAGAAAAAAAGTAATTTTTATTAATAAAATAATTTAAATCAAGCATATGTGCAAGTGGAGAACTTAATATATAATACATTTCTCATTTGTATATTTTGTATATACGGCAATACATAATACATTTCTCATTTTTGTATATATGTTGCCAAACTATTCTGGACAGCTCAGAAATTTATCTTGTTATCAAATCAGTTTCATCGTAATGCAACATGTTCAAATGCTTCATTTTTGTTTATTATAGAAAAAATATACGGTTCAAAAGATTTCTAGCGTAGGAATACCAAACAACTTTGTCTCCATCATCTTTTTACAATAAATCACAACAAGTGGTTGTCTGAAAAGTTCTAATACCGAAACGCTGACAAATTTGCAACTCTGACAAGTTATCTCAGTCTCCTCTACTACCAAATCACGACGACCTCCTCGCGACAAATCGCAGTGACACGAGAAACGGTAAAACTTTTGCAGACGCAAGCTTCCTCCGTAAATTAATCTTTAATTAAAATAAATGTCATAAGCCAGATTTTTCATCATCGTTTACACGTATCTTCCGTTTCGGAAGAATCATTCGAGGGATTGTTGACACGCGCGCGAAATTATCCGAACTTCTCGGGACACTCAACAAAAAAGTATCGACGAATCAGCTCTGACGTTTGTCACTCGCCCCGAGAATGGATCATCTTTGTGTCTCCTTTCGCGATATTCTCTTTCACTGACGCTTTCGTAACACGAAGATAAAGAAGCACTTTAGCATTCGTGCGTGTGAACAATAACGCCCTTTCCGGAATCTTAACCCACTGATACGGCAACAACAATACGGTCGAGCTGACAAAGACAAATCGTAAAATAATTCGCTAGATGCAAACAAAGCCACCTCAAGCGAGATACATCATCGGTTACATTGACGATACCGGAGACGAGATTTCCTCTCCGGAAAATTGCTCGGAAGAACGATCATTTTCACAAAGATGTTTTTCCGTTTCGATTAGATGTAATTCGAATAATTTGCATTCTAAGTTCCTCGCCACAACCATCTTAATAACAATGATAATCTTATATTTAAAATTGTTTTAAATTTGTCTTTAAATACTGTATATATAATTTTATATGTTACGGAAGCAGAATTTAGAAATGAACATAAAACATTCTCAAACTCACGAGTGTGCACTAATATATCTAATTAAATTTTCTTCATAATAGTAGAATCTTATAATAGTATAAGAAAAGAGAGAATATGGGCTACTATTTTTTTATATCTTAAAGTATTTAAAGTATTTAAACTTACTGTGAGAGAAAGAGAGAACAAATATATATGCTATCAAACAAGTGGAATTCTTTTTCCAAATAGTAAATCTATGCACTGTTAGTTATTTATTAGTCCATATTAGAACTCATCTATAACACAAATATAACAATTAAAATCAAAACTTAGTTCCAATTTCTTTAATATTGTAAACAATAATAAAAAGAGAATTTTTTTCAATAAACTTTCCAAAAGCTATTTTTTACTTTGAGTTAACGTTTGTGATAACTTTGTAAAAATTTATGAAAAAGATATTGTTTTTAAGGTAGTTTTATCGCTAAGTACATTCTTCGTGACGTATCAAGAAAACTATATAAATGTATTATTTATTAAACAAAATTACGTCTCTATATATTTATTTCACTAATATATATCAATTTAAAACGAAATTGGTACATATATATATATATATATATATATATATATATATATATATATATATATAGGGCGAGGAAAAAGTATGGAAACCTTGAAAAATCTCAAAAAATATAAGTTTTACAGAAAAATGTTTCAAATAAAAGTTATAGTCAAAAAAAAAAGTTATGTTTCAAAAAAGTTTTATCATTTTGCAAATAACTACATAGATTTATGCATTATCGCGTACAATTATTATAACAATTTTCTTTTATTAATAACTAAAGACCTATATGGTAATTTACAAAATAATAAAGGACTTTTTATTCAATTTAACTTAATGTATAAGTACACAACAGCATACATCGTCACTACAGCTCATCTACCATATCATCTATATTATCATTCATCAGTCTTTTTAATTAATATCTCGACTATTATTGCGAGTATAGCAAAACAATATAGAACTTTTATATTTATCTTAATCCGTTCTCATTAAAAATTACGGAAAAAAATCTGGGATACTGTACATGTATAATATATATACAGGATGTTTCTTAACCTCCGCCCACAAAGTACACAGCGTTATTTTTTATGAAAAATTGAATTGAAAAGTCCTGAATCATTTTTGTCTTTGATGTTTAACGAAGCAGATATTTTTTTAATAAATTCCAGCAAATCCGCGCAGTCATTTAAAAGTATACACGCTGTGACCCGCGCGCCTGGTGCATGTTCCACCACTACATTCACGCACACCACCAGGCGCGCGGCTCACAGACGTGTATACTTTTAAATAACTGCGCGGATTTGCTGGAATTTATTAAAAAATACCTGCTTCATTAAACATCAAAGACAAAAATAGTTCAGGACTTTTTGATTCAATTTTTCATAAAAAATAACGCTGT